ATTCCCAAGCATGAAAAATACCCAGATTCTTCAAACAAAGGTATATTTATATTGGTAGTCATGCGAACAAAAATGTTAGCAAGGGGGCCAAGCCCCATAATCCTTCACTTTTCCTCCTTGGGCAAATGACCCTCAAGATCTGCATACATACTTCCTTGAAACAGGTACCACTGATATAAGATGCATGAGGCCCACTGCTGAATTTCTACTAAAATCCCAGCATCCATGGCTAGCTAGTCTATGCAAAACCTGAGGAATTTTGCAACTGGGACTGTGACCAGGACTCAGTATTTTTAGAGTCCATTTCCCTTTTTCACTCTCAGAAACAGTTAATCTGTTTCTCACTTGGCCATCTGCCCCAGGGTGACTACATTGGTGGCAGGACTAACCCACTTCAGGGCTATCCCAGCCACCCACTATTTCCGGTATTGAGCAGCTACACTAGGGACAAAACAAAAGGAGGAAGCATCTGCCGGTGAGCTCTCAGTCTTCACCGACTTCCTTCATTCCACAAAGTACATTCTGAACACACACACTCCTCCATCTTTACAATATGAAAATGTTCTATTTAAGAAATTTACTTTTTAAGTAAATTCCACATATCTGAAAATCTGCAAGGAATATCCACCGAGACTCCTCAAGTTCACGTCCTGGCAGGTGATCTTGGGCTTCACCACCCTTCTATCTAAGGTAGACAACAATGTCTTCCATGATTGTTCCAATAATGTTTACGCATTTCCTCCCCCAACATACACTCCTCCTGTTATGGACCACCCAGAATGAGAACTGGGTCACTGTCCATCCCAGAGAGACTCCCCTTTCCGGAGAGCAATGCCCTACTTGCTGCATGGCCAGATCCAGGGAGCTCATGACTCCCTAGAATGAAGGGAGAAAAAAAAACCAACCAACCAGCTGATATAAAGTCAATTCTAATTCACGGCAACACCAAGTGTGTCAAAGTAGAACTGCGCCGTATGGTTTTCACAGCTGTACATATTTGGAAGCGGATTCCCAGGCCTTCAATCCAAGTGGTCTTTGGATAGATTCGAATCATCAACCTTTCAGTTAACAGAACACATGATCTTTTGCGACATCCATGGACTCCTCAGATGGGGGGTGGGGAGTTCACACTGGGAAACACCTGAACTGGTAGGAAGACATCTGTTTCATTTATTCCATTAGTCCAAGAGCCACCAGTAGAATCCAATGCTCTGTAATACCAGAACTCAGCCTTCAGAGTAGAAGGATTAGCCTATCCCCACAGAGTCAGTCACAAATCTGGGCAGTCAGGGAAAGCAAGGGACTTGTCTTTTTTTTTTTAAGATCAAATCTGTCAGCACCTAGTATGGATGCTGTTGTTAGGTGCCCTCGAGTCGGTACCAACTCATAGCAACCTGATGTACAACAGATCTAAACACTGCCCGGTCCTGGGTCAACCTCACAATTGTTGCTATATTTGAGCCCACTGATGCTGCCACTTGGTCAATCCATCTCACTGGGGGTCTTCCTCTTTTTCTCTGACCCTCCATCTTACCAAACATGATATCCTTCTCCAGTGACTGGTCCCTCCTGACAACATGTCCGAAGTATGAGAGAAGAAGTTTGACCATATTGGCCTCCAAGGAGCACTCTGGCTGCACTTCTTCCAACATATATCTATTGGTTCTTTTGGCAGCCCATGGCACTTTCAATATTCTCCTCCAACACCGTAACTCAAAAGCATCAATTCTTCTACAGTCTTCCTTATTCACTGTCCAGCTTTTGCATGCATATGAGGTTATTGAAAATACCATGGCTTGGGTCAGGTGCACCTTAGTCCTCAAGCTGGTTTGCTTTTCAACACTTTAAAGAGATCTTGTGCAGCAGATGTGCCTAATGCAATAGTCATTTGATTTCTTGACTACTGCTTCCATGAGTGTGTATAAGTAAATACAAAGATCTTAAACATCTGCTGCAACCCATATTGTTGTTGTTGAGTGCTGCTGAGTCATCCCTGTGTAGGGTTTGCTAGGAGCACCTGCCTGGTGGATTTGAACCACCAACCCTGTGATGAGCAGTCCAGTGTTTCTCCTACAGCGCCATGCCAGGCCTCCTCTGTAACCCATAACAGTAGGTAAACCATGCAAAGATATCATATTTGACCCTTTATTTGCATACACTGTTGAAGGCATATGAATTTAATTTTTTAACAAATAAACTTGTTGTAAATAAGTCTGGCAATAGGTATCAGATGCCTTTGAATTTATCAGTATTTACTTACTGACATTTACGTAAATCTATCCAGAGAGAACAGTCGCTGGAGAAGGATGTCATGCTGGGTAAGGTGGAGGGTCAGAGAAAAAGAGGAAGACCCCCAACAAGATGGATTGGCCAGGTGGCATTATTGATGTGTGGCAGCGGTAGTGAGGTTGGCCCAGGATCAGACATTGTTTCATTCTGCTGTGCATGGGGTTGTTAAGAGTTGGGTTCCAACTCGATGGCACCTGACATCAACAACAACATCCTTTAAAATTTACAGTTCTAAATGCACAAAGGTAGTCTTTAAATACGGGACAATTAGAAATAAGCTCAGTAGTCAACATCAGGAGAACTGATAATTCACGATATCCATACCATGAATAGTCAACATCAGGAGAACTGATGATTCACAATATCCATACCATGAAATAGTACATAGAAGCTAAGATAGTCCTGGTGTGGCACTGTGGGCTAATGCGCTGGATTGCAAGGTTGGTTTGAACTTCAAGGTCAGAGTTCAAGCTCACCAGCCACTCCTCGGAAACTCTACACACGGTTGCTGTGGATTGGAACCATCTCAATGGCACTTAATAACAACAACAAGATGTTTAAAGACTCCCAGTATAGTGCTGCAGGATCAGCATTGGACTATAAACCACGAGGTTGGCAGTTCAAACCCACCAGTTACTCCTCAGAAACCCTATACAAGGTTGTTATGAGTTGGAACTGAGTTGTTAAGTTGGTACCTAACAACAACAACAAAGATGTTTATAGGAAAGCATGGTGGCTCCATACCGAGGAGGTACAAGAGCTGAATAGAAAATGTCAAAGGTCAGCTCAAGAAGATAAAGCCAACTATTACAACAAAATGTGCAAAGATCTGGAGTCAGAAAGCCAAAAAGGAAGAACACACTTAGCATTTCTCAAGCTGGGGGAACTGAAAAAAAAATTTAAGCCTCGACTTTCGATATTGAAAGATTCTCTGGGCAAATTATTGAATGAAGCAGAAAGCATCAAGAGAAGATGGAAGGAATACACAGAGTCACTGTACCAAAAGGAAATGGTTAATGTTCAACCGTTTCAGGGGTAGCATATGATCAAGAGCCAATGATACTGAAGAAGCAAGTCCAAGGTACATTGAAGGAATTGGCAAAGACCAAGGCACCAGGAATTGATGTAATAAAAATTGAAATACAATAATCAGGGGACAGCAAACTACAAGGTTGACAGTTTAAGCTCACCAGACAGTATGCAGGAGAAAGATGAGGCTTTCTGCTCCCACAAAGATTTAACGCTTTGGAACTGACTCAACAGCACTTAAAGAGCAAGATGTTTACTAGCAGCTCTGGCGGCATGATGGTTAAGCACCAAGAGATTGGTGGTGCAAACCTACCAGAGGTTCCTTTTGCAAAAAGACCCAGGGGTCTGCTTCCATGAAGACTAAAGCCTAGGAAACCATGTAGGGTAGTTGTCCTCTGTCATATAGGCTGAGTTAGAATCGACTTAATAGAACACAACAGCTGCAAGATATCTACAGGAAATTTCTTTTAAATTTTATTTTGGTAAAATATATACGGTATTACCAACAAATTGGCCATTTTAGCCATTTTTAAGTGTAGAATTCAGTAGTATTAATTGTCCCACCATCACCACTATTTCTAAAGACTTTTCATCACCCCGAATGGAAACTCCAGACCCGCAAATCTTCCCACCTCCTCTATGGTTACCACGAATAACACTGGCCTCTCTGTGTTTCTATAGTCTAGATTTTCCATATATAGGGGATGAGACAATTTCTTCCTTTAGGGTCTGGCTTATTTCAGTGAGCGTACTATTTTCAAGGGTCGTGCATATCACAGCATGTACCACAACTTCATTTTTCTTTGTGGCTGAACAGTAATCCCTGTCACTCTACACCACATCTTGCTTACCTACCCATCAACTGACAGGCATATTATATGTCATTTCTACCTCTTGGCTATTATGAAAAATGTTGGCAGTAAACACAGTGGTACAAAATTCTGTTTGAGTTCCTGCTTCCATGCCTTTGGGAGATATTCTGAGGAGTGAATTTGCTGAGTCATATGGTTGTTCTGTGTTTATTAGCTTTTTGAAGAACCACATGAGCAACTTTTAATGGAATGGACGTGTTCCAGAAAACACAAAGATCACTGTGTGAAAAATGCAAAGAAGATGGATAGAAGAAAAGCAGTATGAAGTATTAGCAGTTGGTGCTTTTGAGGATTTATTTGCAAGGGCAGCAGACAAAAGGCACACCTACTGCCTTCCCTCACCCATAGCCTACTTGACTCAATCAATCCCAATATCTTATCAGACTCCTCTCCTAACAAAGCCGGCCCTGCTGTCGCTACCAATAAGATTAGCAGGATCTCACAGAAGGTGAAACCTACGTGTCATGCTTGCTATAATCTGATCCCATCTAGAGTCAGTGGAAGCTTTCAGTGAGACCACAGTAATGCCCTGGGACACTAGAACACGAGACATCAGAAGGCAGAAGGTATAGAATAAGTGCACCCTCCCATACACCAGGGCTGGAGATATGCCCCTGGACAGAACAGTCCATCAGATTCTGATGGTCCCCAAAGTGAATCCCAAAAGTTAATTCTCCTTCCAGAATAAATGTGCAACAACAGCAGGATAAAGGAGGTCTTACTCCTGTCTGCTAAGGGAAATACTGAGTGGGGACAGGCTCAGCTAGTTGATCCCCCAGGTGAAGGTGGGAAAGAGACTCTCTCTCTTACCTTGTCAGCCAGGTAAGGCAAAAACAAAGACTTAAGGAGAAAAGCAGAGTTGACGCCTGCAGAAGAGTGTTGAGGTGACAGGTAGGGACAAGGGTCAGCACTTCTTGTTGTTAGGTGCTATCGAGTCAGTTCTGACTCATAATGACCCTGTGTAAGGTGTCCGAGGAGCAGCTGGTGGGTTTAAACTGCCAACACTGTGGTTCATACTCCAGTGATGATCCTACAGCACCAAAAGAACTCGTGAAATCGAGGAAAGGAAGTTGGGGGACCATTTGTGACTAAGGTCTGTACCTTGAACTGGGTATTAACGTAATTTGTGTGGGTAAAACCAAAAAACTAGAGCATGGTTTTTCAAGAGTAGAACTCCAGGTTTTTCTAATGAGGTGTATCACGATGGAACTGATGGTCAGCCTTTCAGTTAGCTGTCAAACACATAATATTTTGCAAAGTCTAAGACAGTCCATTTAAAACACTCGACTGACATGGACATATATAAGCACCTTTTGGATTTAGAAGTTATTTCTAAATAGCAATGAGAGAAACAATTTAAGTTACTGAAGTTTAAAACCTCTCCACAAAATGCCTCATCTCTCAGGATCTCAGATGGCATCGAAAGGCTATTTTGTTCTACCATGTCTCCAAGAAAAGGTTCTGTTATTTTCTCATTTCCATCTTAAATTAAATGGTTATCCCTACCAGAAAGCAGATGACACATACCAACAATAATCGCTATTATTTATCATTGGTAAGTGCCATCGAGTTGGTTCTGACCTATAGCGACTTTATATAGGGTTTTCTGAGGAGCCGGTGGTAAGCTTGAACCACCGATCTTGCAGTTCAAATCAACTTTGCAGTCCGGCGCATTAACCCACAGCGCAACACCAGGACTCCTTATTAGACATCAATTATATATTAGACTTACATTCATATAAGATCTCCAAGCTCACCACCCTCTTCATGGCAAACATGATTTCCCCACCTTACAGGAAAGCTGAGAGACATACCCCAAAAGAGAAAATGATGGGACTTCAAAAGCAGGTCACAGTTTCTGAAGCTGCCCTTTTTCGACCACATTTTAGCTAGCCAGCTAGCTCCCGTAGTAGATTCCAACTCACTGTGCAACCAAACGAAATATTACCCATGTATGTGCCATGTCTAATACTGTGGCTACCACGCCAACTCAGCTTATTAAGGGCCTCCCTCATCCTCACTGGCCCTCTGCTTCACCTAACACGATGTCCTCCTCCAGCAACGGGTCCCTCCCAATGAGGTCTCCAAAGCCAAGTAGGGCACACACTATCCAGCTGGTATCTATAAGACTTCCTTCGGTTCGTTTTCAGAAGCAGATCATCAGACCTCTCTTCCTACTCTAAGTCTGGAAGCTCTGCTGAAACTTGTCCACCATGGGTGACCCTGCTGCTATCTGCAATACCAATGACATTGCTTCCAGCATCACAGAAAACACACAAACCATCACAGTACAATAAGCTGACAGAGGACTGGTCAGCTTATACTCCTTCCAAAACAACGGAAGGTCCACAGGTCATGAAACCTTTCCACTGTGACGTCTAATCTATGGTCCTGACATAGACATCACTCACTGAAACAAGTTTTTCTGCAGGAAATGGAGTCTTGTTCTCCCAAGAGAACACTCTGTGACGAAATCAACCGTACCAAACACAGAAAGACGACAGGAACACTATGGAAACAAGACTTGGGGTCCCTGATCCCCTAGACTGTACTTTTGAACCCCAAGGAAAAAGATGCATACTGCTTGCAGAAAACTGCTGACAAATGCTCAGTCCCGTCAGGAAAAGCAGGTAACCAAAATCTGTACCATGCACCATTCTAGTCAAAGTCAAGTTTGAGCTCTTTGTCTGGGTGTCAATGTTGTTGCTACAGCAAAAATGACACACGCCTGACAACATAATTACAACTGCCAATCTTCCTAAAATAAATGAAACTTGGAAACATTCAGGGAGCAGCAGTATAGGCACACGAGTTAATTATATCTTCAAAACCTCATCCTCAATATATGTGTTGCTTTAGCAGGAGGCATTGTTAGAAAGGAACTGTGGTTCATCTGTTACATCGGTTATTTTTAAATTTTGGATTCAGGAATTTTTTTTTTCCCCACAATGGATGGCTTTGGGGACAGTTTTTAATGGAACCCCTAATAATTAGTTCCAGCACAGAATTGTATTGGGGATACATTCAGTACCACTCTGCAGCAGCTGGAAGGGGTACTCTGGCAGTCTGTTGCCACAAAGACTACAGCCCAGTAAAAAGGGTTGGTGGTACTAGGCTGTATCATTAGGATACTTCTTAGGACTCAGATCTGGGAATAAGGTGATGAGGTTTGACTATAAACTCTGATTCATTACTACAAAACAATAAGATTTAAGATTATAAATCTAACAGGAGTCCTTGTGTGGTGCTGTGGGTTAATGCGCCCGACTGCAATGCTGTTTGAACTACAAGGTTGGCAGTTCAAACTCACCAGCTGCTCCTCGGAAGCTCTATACAGGGTCTCTATGGGTCGAAATCAACTCGATGGCACTTAACAACAGCAATGATTTTGGTCCTAACAAATTTGGATTTGACTGAAATATTTCCTTGAAAGAAGCCAATAAGACAAACTGGGGGCAAGAGTAGACACTTCCTTCAACCCCATCAGAAGTTACACTCCCTGGTCTTCACCCCCAATACCTCTGAGCACACGTTTCCACCAGGGCTACTGATACTAACCATGACCTTGTCAGAACCCTAAGGAGCCCCAGCCCTTGGTCTTTGATTCCACTGGGATCACTGTGCTCTCTCCTCCCCTCCCCTCACAGGCATCATCTCCCTCAAGACCCAGGGCTTCAATGCAGGCCTTCTCTCTGGCCTGCCCTGTCCGGCTTCATGGGCCGTGCATAGCACAACCCAGGGAGCACCATTTACAGAGATTATTCTGGGACTGAGTGTCCTACAGGGCCACACCTTGACTGCCACCCACCTCATTCAAACTTTAGTCTTAGATCGTTTTCACTTCTGCTCTATGTAACTTCCAAAGTACAAAACATATCAAAAAATGTCATCCCGGGCGAAGATCAATTACAAAGGCACGGCTCCTACTCGTCTTCTGCTGATGAAACATGCTTTAAAGTGTGTCAAGCGATTGGTCAATTTCATTCTCCATCTGCCAGTGCCTGGGATGATACAAGGGCTGTAGAGCTTGAAAGTCTTGGGGATAAGGGTGGCTCGACCATGTACCAGTTAAGGAGCTACCAGGGCACTGTAGGGCATTGTGAACAGAGTGAAGACTGTGGTTGTTAGATACCGACTCATAGCAACCCTATGCACAGCAGAACGAACACTGACCAGACTTGCACCAATCTCACAATATTGAGCCCATTGCTGCTGCCACCGTGCTGCCAATCCATCTAGTTGGGGGGTCTTCCTCTTTTTCTCCAACCCTCCACTTTACCAATCATGATGTCCTTCTCCATGACTGTTCCTTCCTGATAATCTGTCCGAAGTATGAGAGATGAAGTCTGCCCATCCTGGCTTCCAAGGAATGCTCTGGTTTTCCTTCTTCCAACACAGATTGGTTTGTTCTTCTGACCGTCTGTGGTACTTTTAAACATTCTCCTACAACACCATAGCTCAAATACATCAATTCTTCTATGATCTTCCTTATTCACTCTCCAACTTTCACATACATAAGAGGTTATTGAAAACACCATGGCTTGGGTCCGACGTACCTTAGTCCTCAAACTGACATCCTTGCTCTTGAACACCAAAAAGAGGTATTGTGCAGCCGATTTGCCAAATGCGATACAGTGGAGACTAGTGAGAATGATTTGCCTGGTTAGACCATTCCACTTCTACCACAAGTTGCCATCAAGTTGACCCTAATGTTGACCTCACAGCTACCTAATACCTGTCCAAATAGAACTGTGCTCCATTGGGTTTTCAGCGGCTGATTCTCAGATATTGATCACCAGCCTTTCTTCCAAGGCACCTACGGGTAGACTAGAACCCCCAACCTTTCAATTAGCAGCTGAGCATCTTTAACATTTGTACCAGCCAGAGACTCCTTAGACTGTTGTTGTTATGTGCTGTGGAGTCGGTTCCTACTCACAGAGACCCTGTACAGGGTTTCCAAGGCTGTAAATCTTCACAGGAGCAGAAAGCCTCATCTTTCTCCCGCAGAACAGCTGGTAGTTTCAAACTGCTGACCCTGAGGTTCGCAGCCCAATTCATAACCACTACGCTACCAGAGGTCCTTAGACTAGTTGTTAAGTGCCGTCAAGTCGATTCTGACCCATAATGACCCTGTATAGGGTTTCCAAGTAGTAGCCGGTGAGCTTGAACTGCTGACCTTGCAGTTCAAACAGCTTTGCAATCTGGCACATTAACCCACAGCACCACACCAGGACTAATAGGGCATTATTAATGGATTTCAAGTAGCTAAGTGACAAGATTAAATCAGGGTTTCAAAAGACCAGGGAGGCAGAAGTAGGGAGAGTTGTAAGCAGAATAACAGAGGCAAGTATAGAGAAAATGGGGGCCTGGAAGGTGTGCATTCTGAAAACATTAAACAGACAGAACTGCAAACTATAGAACACACAGGACAGGGTGGGCTGGAATGGTCCAGATTTCTGGTGTATCTATGGCTGAGACAGAAACAAACAAGTATAGAGAAAATGGGGGCCTGGAAGGTGTGCATTCTGA